GAGGGTGGGCTTTCTAATAAGGATAGAGGGGGGCATAAGAGCTGGGCCCCAGGCTGGCTTCACGGTACACTCTACCCCTCACTTGTGATATTTCTACTGCTCCAGTTCCGCAACCGCTAACCTCAAGCTGTTCCCCTGCCTTGGCCAGGAGGTGACCTCTACCCTTTCCTTAGTGAGCATTTAGATGATTTCTTTGGTCTCACCTACCTTTAACTCCTGTGAAGCTGCAACTAGGTTTGCAACCCAGTGGCACCACCTCAGAGGGGACAGTTTTGTGCATGCTACTTCTGAGCTATATATCCGGGGTCTCTGTACCTTTGTGGTTTGTGTTTTGAGACAGCACCCCATGTAACTCAAGCTGGCCTTGATCTTGCTATGTAAATAAGGATGAGCCCTGCAGTGGTGGTGCATGCCTTTAATCCCAACACTCCGGAGACTGTGAGTTTGATGCCAGTCTGGTCTGCAAAGCAAGTTCCAGGACAGCCAGGGCTGTTACACAAACTGTCTTGAAAATGCAACTAAATATATAAATAAACAGACAGACAAATACATAACTAAGGATGACCTGGAATTTGTCATTCTTCTACTACCTCCCCAAGTATTGGGATTACAGGTAGGAATTCCCTCATTGGCTTCCCTGGGCCTTTTTTAAAAATTAATTTTATATGTATGTGTATGTGTGTCGCCATGCACATGCCACAGGACACACAAGAGGACAACTAATGGGAGTTGGCTTCTCTTCCCACTGTGTGGGTCCAAGGGGCTGAACTCAGGTTGTAGGTGTGGCAGCACACACCAGACATCTAGTCAGCCCTCGATTCCCTGCCCTTTTAAGAGAGATCAGGGTGGGGGCTGGAGAGATGGCTCAGAGGTTAAGAGCACTGGCTAGTCTTCCAGAGGTCCTGAGTTCAATTCCCAGCAACCACATAGTGGCTCACAACCATCTATAATGAGATCTCACACCCTCTTCTGGCATGCATATGCATAATAAATAAATTTAAAAAAAGAGAGAGATCAGGGTATATGGTTCTGTGATACAATCTATGCATGAGGTCTCGCAAGGAAGAGAGGAAAGGAGAGGGAGGGAGGGATTTGGAAGAAGTCACTGAGACAGACTTTTCTGCCGAAGCCCCTGAACTGGCACTTCTGTAGAAAAGCTACTGAGCCAGAAGTAGTGGATGCTTAGAATCCTGGGCTTTGGGAGGTAGAGGCAAGAGAATTAGGAGTGCATGACGAGCACTGGCTGGAGAGTGAGCGAGGGTCCACTTGGGCTGCACAAGATCCTTATCTCCCACCATCCTGCAAGTTAGGCTGTGTGTTCATCCCCTTTTGCAGATGAATTGTTGATGTAATGAGCTTGTGGACCCTGCCCCAAAGCAAACAGCTGGCCTCAGAGAACTTGCTCCCTGTGTCTGGGGGAGAGTCAAGGGCGGGTCATCTGTATGCCCTTTAATGTGGATGGAAACACTGCCCGGGAGTTTTCCATCTTTGCCTGTACCAGCTCTCACAGCACCGTGTGGACCGCCGGAGTTCTCCGGGGCTGATGCTCTGTGATTACCTAGCTAGTGTTGGTGAAAAGGGGGAAAGCGCTAATTGAGTGAGTTAGTAATTTGGTTGCCAAGGTAACTCTTTTCCGATTGGAAGGAAGGGATCACAGGGTTCAACACAGACTTTGCTAGATAGGAAAGTGTTGTCTGATCTTCACTCCATGTTCCTGCTTTTAAGCTGGAAAAAGAACTGGGGGGAAAAAAGGTACAAATTGAATTCAAAGAGCATTCAAGTCTGCTTTAGGATGATCTCAGGGTGGCAGACTTTGGAGTGGTCTATATGTCTTTCTTTTATCCAAACTATTTATTTGCTCATTAGTTTTAGTTATTTTTGTTTCAGTTTGTATCTTTGGCCTTTTATTTCACGTGGGCATCTTCTGTAGTTCAGCTGTCTTCATAGTTTTCAGATTGTTTTGTAAGTAGAGTGGCTACAGAGGACAAGGGAGGGAGCCCAGTTGGTCGAGTGTTTGCCTAGCATGCATGAAGCTCTGGGTTCAACCCCCAGGACTTAATAACACCTATTATCCCAGGACTTGGGAAGTTGAGAGCTGGTCAAAAGTTCAAGGTCATGGTCTCTTACAAAGCAAGTGGAAGGCTAGCCTGGGCTATATGAGACCCTATCTCAGAAAATCAAATTGTTATAGCATATCTGGAACTCCACAGATCAATCTGGGTAGTTGGGACAGCATTTTCCAGGGTTCCGATGTCAAGGTTGTTACCAATTTGGACAACCACCAAGGTACCATTTACATGCCGGCTTGCCCAGTAAATGAAGTTGAACCCTGTCTGGTAATGTGAAATGCCTGGAAAGAGGTCTGAGGTGACAACCCAGAAATCAGACTTCTAGACGGATAAACTTAACCAATGACTTTGGAGAATCACTCTTTCCTGCCCATGCTCCTGGTCTGTTGTTCAATCTAAAGAATGCTTTACTATGATTGGGTGTATCCCAGGAGTAGGATATTTGCTTGATTTTCAACCTGCCAGATAATGCAGTTCTAATACCATTAATCATTTATATATTCTGACTTATTCTAGTCTAAAAAAGGATTTAAGGGTGAATAGTAGAACTTGGCAAGGTTTGTAATTTTTATTTGCTAACCTTTTATTAAGTAGGTACCTTTTGAAGAATCTTAGAATAGAGAGAGAGAAATGGGCTGCATTTTGTCATATTGCCAAGGCTGGTCTCAAACTGTAGGCCTTGGGACTGGAGAGGTGTCTCAGTGGTTAAGAACAATTGTTGCTCTTGCAGAGGACCCCAATTCGGTTCCCAGCACCTACACAGTGGCTCAAAATCATCTGTAATTTCAGTTCCAGGGGATCTGAACCCATTCTGACCTCTGAGAACACCAGGCAAGGATGTAGAACACATATATACATTAAGGTAATAAAATAAAATGAATCTTAAAGATGTAACAAACAAACTCCAGGGCTGACTCACTTGTTCTGCTTGGAACTACCTGCATGCCATTGTGCTTACCTTGGCAGATGTGTATGTGGTGTGCAATTCAGTGCCATGTATATTCTAAGCAGGAGCTCTACCATTGAGTTAGGTCTTCAGCACTTGGCAAGGTTTTTATAGTATAGAAAGGTTTGTAGAACTATTCTGTATTTTAAGTACCTTAGCATAGTATCTTATTTTCCTTATCCCCCTTTAGAAATACAGGATCCTATGTAGCTCAAGCTGGCTCCAATATGTAATGGACAAGGATGACCTTGAACTCCTATCTGTGCCTCCCAAGTGCTGGGATTACGAGTCTAGTTTCTGTTTCATTTTTCCAGGGTGAGCTCTGGCTGCTTATTTATAATCGAGGTCTCATTCTATAGCCCAGGCTGGCCTGGAAGTTGTAGCAATCCTTCTGACTCAGTTTTCCAGGTGCTGGGATGTACAGATGAACTACCATGCTTGGCAACACTCTCACTGTAAGAAGCTAGCTCTTGCTGGCTGGTGGTAGTGCCTGCCTTTAGTTCCAGCACTCCAGAGGCAGAGATGGCTGGATCTCTGTGAGATCAAGGCCAGCCTGGTCTACAAATCGAGTTCCAGGACAGCTAGGGCTACAAAGAGAAACCCTGTCTCGAAAAAAACCAATTGAAAAAAAAAAAAAAAGATCCAGCTCTTGAGTGTATCAGCATTCAATCCTGGTCAGTTTGAGGTTGGAAAGCTCTGGATTGCTCTCAGACCTACATCTCTGAGAAGTCCATCCATAACTATGAACTCTGGCTGAGCAGCTCAGGGATATGCCCACATCTGAGCCCTGGACCACTGTCCACACATGCTCAGCACTGCCCCTTCCTTGTCTGCGAACCTCTGTAATATTTCTCCCCTTGCTGGAGTTCTGAAGGCTCCCCTCAGAGACAGTATCTTATGTATTTAAGATATAATGGTACATTGACAAGTCAAAAGAGAGTTGACAACTAGGGCGCAAGTCAGAGAGCATCCCCAAGGAGCAGGTTTTTGTTGGGTGAAAAACTGAGGACCTGAGCCGGGCATTGGTGGCGCACGCCTTTAATCCCAGCACTCGGGAGGCAGAGGCAGGCGGATCTCTGTGAGTTCGAGGCCAGCCTGGTCTACCGAGTGAGTTCCAGAACAGGTTCCAAAACAATACAGAGAAACCCTGTCTTGAAAAACAAAACAAAAAACAAAAAAAACAAAAAAAAAACAAAACTGAGGACCTGTCACCTGGCTGCTGAAAACCAGTTCTGGGAAGGAGTGGCTAAGGACTACCTACACACACACACACACACACACACACACACACAACCGGCCAGCCATCACATACACTGAATCTCAGACCCTGCTGCCCAGATGAGGAAACCGAAAGACCACAGAATTCCAATACTTCTAAAGTCCCTTTCTCACTTCACAAGTGGACGGAAACATGAGGTACCCCGTCACTCGACTCAGCCCCTCCCTTGAGGGAACAGACTGAAGTATTTCCACAGGAATAGAAATGGGCGATTGTGTCATTGCGGGGTCAGAATGGCAGCAGAGGGGGAGGAGCTATTTAATAAGATTTCAGCCAGCGTTCCTATGGTCAGGTCCCTACCTTGAGTAGCTCCTGAGCAGCGGCCCACTGAATGGCACCAGAAGGGGAGGGGGAGGGGCAGCAAGCATCTCAGACTGCAGCCCTGACAGCCTGATGGTCTCCACTGCCAGGCGCCTTCCTAAGACTTTGCTGTCTCTGACACCCAAAAGGCTCTGAGGTTTGTGAATGCGATTGATCCAGAACCTGACCTCACTTTCATTTAATCTCATGCCAGCACCAATACACACCCAGCTGCACAGACCTCGTCTAACTAGTGAGCTGCTCAGACACAAAGGCCTCTAATTACCATCCGCAAGCCAGGCTGACAGGGATTTCAAGTGTTTTCATGTTTATGGAGATCAGAGAAACGTGTTCTGTGCAATCTTTCCCACTGGAGGAAAGCACAAAATAAAATCGAACAACAACAAAAAAACCCAACACATTTATTCAAAAACAGTTAATTCAGTTAAGTTAAAATCCTATAATCAGGACAGCCACAGTTCCAGTCACTTCGGTGCGAAGTGTAGATTTGTCAATAGCCACATCTGGAAGCTGAACAAGCCATTGACTCCATAAAACTAAACGAAACGGTCGCTCAGAGTGAACAGTGTTTCCAAGCACATCACAGTCACAACAGCAAAAAGCCCGCAGCTTTTCCATTTGGAGGGTCACATTTTCTACTCGGTTTCCTTCACTTACAAAGGCGAGCTGGCACAGCTGGGGGAGGGTCAGAAGGAGGAAATCAACTCCCTCTATCCAGGGAATTGCAGCTGTTATTACAAATGGCCCCGAGAGCCCATTATAAGCGGCTGTGTGAGACTGTGTCCCGGGAGTGCCCCTTGTGGGGCCTCCCCAGCCCCTCTCCCTGGCCCCTAGGATCTAAGGGGCACTCCCCAGCCCCCCAGGATCTGCTTGAGTAGGGCAGCAGGGGGAAAGGTGGTACTTGGGGCTACTGTCTCCAGGCAGTTTCTGTGCAAGCCGAGAGAACGGGCAGGGGCGGTGGCCCCAGGCGGAAAGCACAGACACCCAGCACCAAGCCGCCCCCTCCCCCTCTTCTCCGGGAGGCAGCACTTGCGCGTGTCCTTAGGGGACTCTAGCATTTACAAAACAGTGTGCTCTTCTCCCAGCAAGGCTATGTGCCGGTGAGCCATAACACGGTGCACACTCTGGAAACAGTGGCCTTGAACCCAAGCAAGAACCGGTCGCCTTTAAAAACACTTTAGGAAGGCGGGAGAGTTCAATCTGTGCTTTGCCATACTCTCCCCATCGCCCAATACCGCCTCCCACCCCCATCTGTGGTACAACATTCCCTCAGCACTCCGGTAACAGCAACCAGTTGCAAAAAAAGGGTACAGACAGGGGGAAAAATGTTACTTCTATTTAGCCTCAAGAGGGTCCTTTTGTGGTACCGCATGTTTTACATTAAAACCAGCACCGCAATGACACGAGACGGTCTTTTAACTGCCATAAAATGTTCAAGTGTAGTATTTTGGTGTGCTCCCCGAAATAACATCCATTCTTGCCCCCCAAAGTGGATCAAGAAAGTAACTGTGATCATCGTCCTTCGTTCCATGGCTGGCTGATCCTGAGAGCATGCACCATGGCCACGTGGTCGCCGGATTGCCACAGCAGAGTCTGCGCGGAACTGCAGCGACCAGGTTGAATTACGGCAAAAAAAAAAAAAAAAAAAAAAAAAGGAGTCCTGCAGACAGCCTGCGGTGCGGTGCACTCTATAAAATCGGCTTTAAACAAGCCTAAGTCCTGGATTTCAAACAGTTTGGGGCTCTCAACCCCAGTTACCCCATGAAAATATTTGCGATTTTTCTGCTGTATTCCTTAGCTTATTATCCCATTTTCAAAGGCAAGAGTCCTCCACCAACCCGGTGCAGTCCTGGGTAAATCTTTTGGTTCCCAGGTACAGGCTGGTGCAGTAGCCTCACTGGTTGTTAGCTGCCAGGAACAAGAAAGTCGTCCCCAGTTCTGAGCCGCGCCCTCCTCGCGCAAGCGCCAGGGTCGCTGCAGGCCGCTCGAGGGCTCCGGGGCGAAGGCGGCTCGTGCACCGGGGCCGACAGAGGCCCGAGGAACGGGTGTGCGGGAAGCTTTGCGTGTAGCTGTAGCCGTCGCGAATGTAGCCGCCGCACCGCCTCCTTGATGAGGTTTCCCGAAAGCACGAGCTGCTGCAGGAGCCGGTGCGGGTCGTCGTCGCCGGTGCGGGTCTCGGGCTGAGATCCGCGTCGCTGTTGCAGGCGGCGAGACGCGGCTGCGCTCCGGAGCCAACCGCGCCGGAACGGGCCGGAGAGAGGCTGCGGGATGCTCGGCTTGCCGGTCACCGGGGGTCCCTCAAGGCCAGGCTGCGAGGGCTGAGGGCACAGCACGCTAGCGCCCGCTGGGAGCTCCGCCACGCAGTAGGGAGCCGCCCGGCCCCGCACGCGCCCGCGCTCCCCCAGCACGCAGCGCACGGCTCCCGGGGGCGCCGGGTTCCCGGCCTCCGCAGGCGCGTCCGGCCGCAGCAGCCGCCTCGCCGGGGTCCGGGCCTTATCCGCCGGCAGCGCAGCCACGACCCGCGGGGGCGGGGGTCCCGGGGCAGCACACGGCGAGGCCGGGCCGTCGTGCGCCGCGTCCAGCTGCAGCGTCTCGCCGATCTGGGCGATGAGCCGGTCCACGTCGGCAGAGCCGCCCAGAGTCACCGACTGTTGCAGCAGGAGGAAGCTGTCGTCGTCGTCCTCCCCCTCCGCCTCGTCGCCGGCTTCCTCCTCCTCCTCCCTCCGGCACGGCATGGCCCCCCGTCCGGGCCCCTGCGGCTGTGCGGGCGTCGCTGGCGGCTCGGTTGCCCGCGGGCTCGGCGGGCCGCGGCTGGGGCGAGAGCGGGGCGGAGGCCGGGGCCGGGCCGGGCCTGAGACGCGGAAGCCGGGGGCCACCGGGCAGCCGCACCGCGCGCCTTCCAGCCGCGGGAGCCGGAACGCTGCCGGCTCGGGTTGATTTGTAAACAATGGGTGACGTCGCGCGGCTCCTACCACCGTGCGCGGCCGGGGGATGCTGTGTCCTTGGTAGCGGGGAGCCTGCTGGGCCAGGGGACAGAGTGGAGCCTAGCTGCCCCCGAACCTCATTGTAGTGTCTGCTGTGTGCGCGTATGTACTGGACAGCTAATTCTGGTTCGCTCAGCCGGGCCTAATTGGCGTTCCACAAGATGGACACCTTGGGGGACGCGATTGGTTTCTTCCACACACAGTCACTTCCACACACTTACACCTCCACACACTCCCCTCAGCACGTCAAGTGGTTTGGTTTAGGCGGTGGCGGTGGCGTTTTTTTTTTTTTTGTTTTTTTTTGTTTTTGTTTTTTTAGATCGGGTTGCCAGCTCAGACGAGGAAGGAGAGAGGGAGAGGTTAGGAATCAGTGTGGCGATTAGGAAACGGATGTTGTCAAAGATGGAAAAGAGATCCTGTTGTCTGATGTGGTTGGCTGGACAGATGAGTGTTTCTGGACTGGGGTCCCTAGGGAGTCTACGTGCTGTCTCGACTTATGGCCTCTTCCGAAGAATTGTAATATGGAAAGTGTGTGTGTGTGTGTGTGTGTGTGTGTGTGTGTGTGTGTTTTAAAGGAATTCACCAGCCAAATGGAGAATAGTAGCAAGGGAGGCACATGGTGAACTGTTTATATGAAAACAGCCCCGGCCATCTTAACCATTCCATTGTTGAATTAATGGGTAGCCAAACTTTATCTATTTTTAATATTTACTTATTTTGGGACAGAACCTGTGTATCTCCTTGGCTTTGCTGTATAGCTGAGAATAACCTTGAACTCTCGATCCTCTTGCCCCCACCTTGCAATTGTGCGGCACCAGATCAAGTTTGTTTAGTGATTATTTTATAGTGTTGGGGATTACATCCAAGGCCTTCTGAGCCATTAGAAAATCGATGGCCTTCAAACTGACTGCAACAGACATCCGTGTGGTGACACACATTTGTATCCCAACACTGGGAAGGTGGAGGCAGAAGTATTACATGTTCAAAATCATTCCTGGATACATAGCGAATTTGAAGCCAGTCTGGGGCATGAAACTCTTGTCACTATCATTGAATAGCCCTGGTTTCTAGTCTACCACTGGGGGGGGGGGGGGAGTAAGCATAAACTTAAAAAAACAGTGAATTTTTAAATATGTAAATTGTACAATATAAAGTTTTTTTTCTTTTTCTTTTTCTTTTTTCTTTTTGGTTTTTCGAGACAGGGTTTCTCTGTAGCTTTGGAGGCTGTCCTGGAACTCACTTGGTAGTCCTGGCTGGTCTCAAACTCACAGAGATCCTCCTGCCTCTGCCTCCCGAGTGCTGGGATTAAAGGCGTGCGCCACCAACGCCCGGCTTTTTTTTTTCTTAATTAGTCATAAAGCATGTGCACACAGACACACAGAAAACAGTGGGGAGTCTGACAGCGTGCAGGCAGCTACTTTGTAGTACTCACTGGGAGCCAAGCACAATGGCTCACACGGGGTTGGGGAGGCAGAGGTGTGAAGATTATTGAGACTGAACTCAAAAGAAAGTAAATGAGAAAGATGGCTCATCAGTTAAGAGCACCGGCTGCTCTTCTAGGGGACCTGGGTCTGGTTTCGAGCAGTCACATGGAGTCTCACAACTACCTGTAACTCCAATTCCAGGGGATCTGATGCCCCCTTCTGGCCTCCACGTGCACCAGGAACGCAAGTGGTGCATAGGTATGCCTGCCTGCAAAACACCCATACACATTAGAAACATTTCTAGCTGGGCGTTGGTGGCACACGCCTTTAATCCCAGCACTCGGGAGGCAGAGGCAGGCGGATCTCTGGGAGTTCGAGGTCAGCCTGGTCTACAAAGCGAGTTCCAAGAGCGCCTCCAAGACAATACAGAGAAACCCTGTCTCGAAAAACCAAAAAAAAAAAAAAAAAAAAAAAAAAAGAAACGTTTCTAAAACGACTTGGCGGCTGGTGAGATGGCTGAGGGGGAGAGATGCTTGCCACCAAGACTGAGCGCCTGAGTTCATGCTCAGGAACCAGGGTTGGTAGGAAAGAACGTATTCCCACAAGTTGCCCTGCTGTGGAATAACCTTTTGTACACTGTGAAGATTCGACTCTGTGATTGGTTTAATAAAGAGCCAACTGACCAATAGCCAGGCAGGAAGAGGTTAGGCAGGAGAACCAAAGTGACAGAACACTGGGTAGGAAGGGCAGAGTTGCCAGCTAGACGCAGAGGGAGGAGGACCTGTGGAAAAGGAGGTAACAAGCCATGAGCCACATAGCAGGATGTAAATTAATAAGAAATGGGTTAATTTAAGTTGTAAGAGCTAATTAGAAACAACCCGAAGCTATTGGCTGAGAATTTATAATTAATAATAAGTCTGTGCGGTTATTTGGGAGCATGTTGTCAGGACAGAAAAATCTGTCTACATTGCTCTTCAAACCCTCCCCCCCAATGAATAAATAAATGTAACTTTAAACTTTTTAAAGAGAGCTGGGTTCATTTTTGTCAAGTGAAGAGGAGAGAATATCAGAACAGAGGAAAAGTCAGTCCTGTGTCCCCCGTCTTTGTTTTTTGAGACAGGCTATCCTGTAGCCTCAGCTGGCCTGAAACTCACTCTTTAGCTGAAGATGGTCTTGAACTCCTGATACTCCTGCCTTGTCACAGCGCCCTGCTTGTTATAGAGCCAGTTTTTTTTTTTTTTAGGTTTTTCGAGGCAGGATTTCTCTGTGGCTTTGGAGGCTGTCCTGGAACTAGCTATTGTAGACCAGGCTGGTCTCGAACTCACAGAGATCCACCTGCCTCTGCCTCCCAAGTGCTGGGATTAAAGGCGTGAGCCACCAACGCCCGGCATAGAGCCAGTTTTGAGAGTCATTTGAACTTCTAAATCTAGGCAATCTGGATTTGTACAATGTTATAAGACTAAAGTTAATTGTTGGTAGATCATCTGCTTGCCACTCCCACCTCTCCACCAGCAGGGTCTCACTCTCTAGTCCAGACTGGCCTAGAATTTCTGATAATCCTTCTGTCTTGGCCTCCTGAGTGTTGGGATGGCATTTGGTAGGCTCCAAGCATTTTTTCCCTCTGTAATTTAGATGCTGTTTATTTATTGCTCTGCTTAGAAGTGATGGGAACAGTCAGGGAAATCATTGTCTTTGATGATAGGTGTGATGTTAACTGTTTTTTTTTAAGATTTATTTATTTATTATGTATACAGTGCTCTGCCTGCTTGTATACCTGCAGGCCAGAGGAGGGCACCAGATCTCATTACGGATGGTTGTGAGCCACCATGTGGTTGCTGGGAATTGAACTCAGGAAGAACAACCAGTGCTCTTAACTGCTGAGCCATCATCTCTCCAGCCCTAGCTGTGGGTTTTGAACTGATGTCTGCTATAAGCTGAGGACATTCCTTTGTATTCCTGGTTTGTTGAAAATTGGTCTTAATCACAGACAAGTAATTTTATTTAATTAGTTTATTTGGCAATTTTCTTCCTCATTTTGACGCATTGTTCATATGAAAGTATGGTCAAGGTAGCTCTTTATCAGCTGTATTATTCATGCACCTGATTGTTTAAAGTTTTTTGTTGTTGTTGTTTTGTTTTGTTTTGTTTTGTTTTCGAGACAGGGTTTCTCCGAGGCTTTGGAGGCTGCCCTGGAACTAGCGCTTGTAGACCAGGCTGGCCTCTAACTCACAGAGATCCACCTGCCTCTGCCTCCCGAGTGCTGGGATTAAAGGCGTGCACCACCAACTGTTTAAAGTTTTAAGGTGAGAGAGGGAACCAAGTGTGTTATACAAACTTGTCGTCCTGGCACCTGGGAGACAGGTAGAAAATCAGGAGTTTGAGGGCAGCTTCTGCTACAGAGTAAGTGAGAGATCAGCCTGGGCTCCATGAGATACTCCCCCCAAAACTAAAAGTAAAATAAGATGAGACAGGGAACATGAAACAATTTAAATAGTAGCAGTTTACAATTTTTCAGCTCAAAATATATAAGCCCAGTGGTTAAGAGTACTTGTTGCTCCAAAGCCACAGAGAAACCACCCTGTCTCGAAAAACCAAAAAAAAAAAAAAAAAAAAGAAGAGTACTTGTTGCTCCTCCAGAGGGCCAGCATTTAATTCCCAGTACCTACATAGTGGTTCACAACATCTATGATCCAGTACCAGGGGATCCCATGGCTTCTTCTGACCTTCATGGGCACCAAGCATGCATGTAGTACACATACATACATGAAGACAAAACAGTCACACATAAAATAGAATGAATAAATATACAAAATATATAATCCTGGTATATTATGAAAATGAAAATGGTATGACTGTTTTGGTAAAATGTCTGTCAGTTTCTTGTATAACTAAACACATACAGACGTAGCTCAGTTCCAACTGGTATTTACCCGAGAGAAACAAATGCACAGGCCACATCAAGTTCAGTCATAGCAGCCTTATTGATCACTGCCCTGAATCTGATCCACCCAAGTGGTCCTCTACCGGAAATGGAAAACCAGCCTAAGGTACATTCATATCATGATGGTGCAGAATGAAGTTCCCAAACAGTATGATAAGTAAAAGGAACCAAAGAAAATAGTCATGCCATAGTTGATGTGGGAAGTCCTGTGCATTTGTCAATAAAGCACCGTTGAGCCAATAGGAATCTAGATAGGTGGGACTAGGAGTCCAGGAGGACTCTGGGAAGGAGGAACACAGAGAGTCAAGATGTAACGCCATGGGGTAGGAAGCCTGGAACTATTCTCCGGTAAGAGAAATACTTAGATTAACAATTATGGGGTAATTACTTAAGTCAGAGCTAGCCAGTAAGAAACAAGCAAAGCCAACAGCTTAATAATTAATACAGCGTCTTGTGTGTTATTTGGGGACTACAATGCGGCAGAGCCCAGGCGGCTGGCGAGTGATAAACCAAAGCGGCTAGCAAAGAAAGGCTTCTCTTTACACATAGTGAAGTGTTGGAAGAGACAAAGTAACTCTTTTGTTTTTTGATGG